CATCGGTCAAATATATTTTTGATCTCATTATTTTTTCATTGTAGAATTACTCATAGTAGGAGTAATATGATACACAAAGTGTATGATGAACAACATTATTCAAATTTTTATCCTCGATTCTCATGATCTCTTAAACCTCTTCTTTAGTGGAATTATTATTTATTTTATTGTCTTTTTTCAGGGAACTCACAAAAAAAAAAAAAAATCCATCCATGCCACAAAAATTGGGGGGCTTGAAACCACATAAAACACAAAAGAAAAAGACACACACATAATTACCCGTGGTCCATAGCTCTGTGGATAGTATAGTTAGGGTAGTAGATTTTTGAGTATATTATCTTTCAATTTTAAACAAAAATGCCAATCTAACGTACTTTTAAACTTATTTACGGATCTACTGCAGTTTTTGAAATTGGAATTGTTGATTCTACTTTCAACACGATTTCGATTTAAAAGCAGAATCAACAATTCTGCTTTCAACAAGTGATACAACAAAAAGGGAGAAAATTATTTTTGTAAATATTAAAAGTATTCTTGTTGACTCCGCTTTTAAAAACTGCAATAGATTAGTAAACAAGTTCAAAAATGTGGTAAATCAGTATTTTTGTTTTAAAATGACAGTATTTTGATAATAGATTCAACATTTTTTAGTGTCGTGCCTTAAGTTATAATAGATTCCGCTTTCACAATTGTTTCGCTTTCGATATTGAAGTCTTATCCATAATTATTTAAAGCAATTAAACTTAGATTGTATGTTCTAATCCAAATAATAATAATAATAAACAGTTGGACTGGATGCTAAACTGGAAAGGCCAGTGGTGGATGGACTAAACTAATAATCACGAAAGAGATGCCTGAGGTGGATGGACTAAACTAATTAATAGTCATGAAAGAGATGTCTGATCTGTAGTTCAACAAGAAGGGTGAATTACATTGACATTCTCTATGTTTTTGACAATTTCGAAAGATACCCTTCTGATTTCTGTAATTATACTAGCACCCAGTGACGTATTTTTGTCACAAGGGGAGGTTAGTTAACTAGGGTTGACCCTGTAATCTAGCAATGGGCTCCTAATTTTGATCTATCTTTATTTCGTACTTGGATGTTGCATTCAAAAGGGTGATATATAATTGTCTATTTTTCCCCAAGCTTATTTTTTTAAATTTAATTATTATTTTTAAAAATTTTCCAATTTAAAAATAAGAAACATTAATTAGAATACTAGAGTACTTCAATATTTACTGTTTTACCTTGAACAAAAACTGAAATAGCAAATTCATCATAGGTAAATTTTCACGAGAGAGAGAGAGAGAGAGAGTTTACCTCGTTAGCTCATCCTTGTCCCTGATTTGCCCCCAATACCCTTGTCCCTGATTTGCCCCAATGTCATTTTCCTCTTGGACTTGAAGCAAATAGAAATGTTTTGATTGATTGCTGAAAGCCACAAAGACTCAAATTCAATCATTGAGCACCTATTTTTTTTGACACAAAGGTTTTTTGCTAGGTCTAGATTAAATTTGCATTGCTTGCATGACTATAAAATTTTCGATTTAAGTCTTCCTGTATCAACTATTTTGTACATTGCCTGTTATACAGGCTGAATTTTAAATTTATCTTTTTAAGGAAATTGTTCTGGTAAAAATTATTAAGGATTAATAGTTTGCGAAAACGATACTAGAAGAATTATAATTCTAATTTATTTATGAAAATTTTAAATTATTCTAATGGCAAAAAAAAAAAATCATGACTATTGAATGTCCCATACTGGTGGCCATTTTTTCATGTCAGAAACAAACAAGAAATCAATTAATGATCTAGCTGGTTTACTTATTTTTTTTGTCGGATATTATTACAAGGAGAGGAAAGACGAAATTTGAATTCGCAACCTTAAAATTCAATAATAAGAAGTGGTCACTATTATGCCAACTGACTCATGCATAAAAATAAGTATGCGTGGCCACTCTAAAAAGGTGTTTCATTTCATTTGAGATGGAGAAAAACATATATTTCGTATTTGCGCTACTTAAAATAATTTCTCAAAAATGTAGGGTCAAAATTGAGAATGCCTGCAAAATTTAAAATTCTTTTTAAATTGTAAATTTTAAATTTAAAAATTAAAAGTTTTGGTTCAAAAATCAATGAGCTAAAAATATTTCATTGTCACGTGACTTTATTTGCACCTCTTTATCATTAGTCCAAAAGATGATAACTTTATTTCATTATTTCGATCACTTAAAAAATATAAATATTCAAAAAAAATAAAATTGAATAAAAAATTTAAAAAATTATTTTCAAAACATTTATAAAACATTAGTCAAAATATATTGAAATATCATAAAAAAAAACTTTGAAATATTCTAAAATATCAATGAAAATATGAAAAAAAAAAGGATCAAATTAACACCTCAAAGTATTAAAATTTTAATTTAATCAGTGATTCATTTTGGTCTCCATTAAAACAAAAAGATTATTTCGATCATTTTAAAACTTGTGCATATAACTATTTGGTATTATGCATGACAAATAGGATAAGAGGCGGAGTCAGAAATTAAGGAAAGAGAGGGGGTCAAATCAAATATGTTAATTTTATAGGGACTGACTGGATAAAAATCAATCAATAGTTGGAATAAAATAAGAAACAAACAGTACCGGAGTTGGTGAAAAGAAGAAAAAATATGATAGGAGGCATGAAACGGGCAACATTGGGGTGGGCCCATGAATAGTAGATCTCATATAAAAATAAATAAATATAATAGTGATATTATATAGTTATTATCACGTAATATAATTATTTAATAATAAATCAATATATAAATAAGTACATCTTACTTAATTTTGTAATTACTCAAAAGTGAACATCACTTGCCTTAAAATATATCTAAGAGAATCTCTAAAAGATTTTGTATTTTAGCTATTTAAATGTATATTTTTTTTATTTTAAATACTCATTTTTTCAATACACACTCCAACGTATTTTTTATATTTTAACTACTTCTTTAAATATTATTTTATATTTTTTGTATTTTTGTTGGGACTACGGGATTAGAGAGAGAGAGAGAGAGAGAGAATGTAGAAAAAAAAATGGACAAGTGAGGTGAGAAAGGACAAAATAAAAAAAAAAAAATTACATAATATTTATACAACTTATTAAAGTAATATTGTATATTTAGAGTATCATTATAACAAAAAGTTATTTTAGAGTATCTAAATATATTATGTTGGAGTGTGTAAATTTTAGCTATTTTAGAGTTTTACATATTCTGTTAGAGATGCTTTAAGAATGATCTATGAGCATCTTTTTAAAAAATAAAAAACTTCTTTGATGAAAAATTAAAATAAAATGTGAAATTTTTTTAACAACTCCAATAGAACTCTTTATTTTATTAGAAATAGTAGTTGTAGTGAATAACATTTAATTCAAAATACACTTGTCAATTTTTTATTCATTAATTATAAAATAGAGAGCGAAGTTGACTCTCCAAATGTAAAAAGTTAAATTAAACTATTTATATTAGCTACTCGAAATAAATAGTCTATTGTATATAAATTTTTAAGGAATTTATTGTGTAAAATAGAGAATTAATTGGAAATAGAGAACTTACTATTAGAGATGTTTTTACGAATAATGCTATCGATACTTTAAGAAAATGATATAATTTATTAACATAATGATGTATAGAGTTACAATCATAATAATAATATTAGGCCACATCATTAAATTAATTTTTTTAAATCCTAATAATATTACACATATTTTACTTATAAATTTAGAGTAATATTATTGAAACATAATTTGAGAATTTAATTATTGTGTCTGTTAGATTATCAGTAAGTTTCACTATTAAATGGATCTCAATACTAGTCTAATGAATACAATACATTAAAACATGGGTCTAAGTGTTACGTACAAATTTTAGGGGGTTTAAATATAATATTTTAAATATCAAGGAGTCTGAGTGATTAAGTGACAAATTTCAAAGGATGCGAATGTAATTCTCTCTAAAATATATCAAGTTATCAAATTATACCCCAATGATATTAGTAATAAATTTGTTATTTTAATAGTCAAAACACGTCAAAATGGTTGTCACCATCTGCCGGTGTAATATTTGTTTGAATAATATTACTTGAATTTTAAAAATAGATTTAAAAACTAGATTCGATAAATATAACTATTTATTTTAGTGTAACTCTCAGTATTTATTAAGATTCACTAACTATGAAATACTTAAAATTATGAAGTTTAATTTTTAAATCGTTTGCTTTAGGCTATTTACTCACATCTATGAAGCACAAAATATTTTGTTGGGGTTGGCGTATCTGTATCGAATATGATATTCATCGAATATTCAAAGATATATATCTGATACACCTCTTACGTATTCGATAATAATTAAATATTAACATACTTCACAGATTATTTTTGTGTTCGAGCAATATATATAATTTTTGAGTTAAATTTTAATATTTCCTTTCGAATTCACATACCATACAATACATTACAAAAATTCATACTACTTCAAAGGCACATGAGTATTTTTTAAATATTATTTACAATTACATATCAAAAGAGTATAAAATAAATCTCTTACATTATATTTTAGCAAAAATCACTTCTAAATAAATTGACTCGATAAATGTTAGATTTGATTCCTTTAATTAATCACTTCACTTTGTGAATATACCATAGTAATGCAATATATATTTTTTTCAAGTAAAAGAGAATTACAAATTTTCTTTATTGTTTTAAAGAACTACTAAATTATATAAGTATTATACTAGTTGAAAATAATAAAAATATTTTATTATAGTCGTATCTTGACTGTACCTGTATCCTTCTATTTTAAATTTTGTCGTATTGCCATATTTATATCATATTTTATAAATATTTCGTATTTATATTCGTATCCGTATCTCTCTCGGTGCTTCGTAGACTCGCATCGATAAGGACAAAATAAGGTGTAACCATTTGGTTCCTGTCCGTTAAAGGCCAAAGCTCCACCAGAGTTTTGCCATCCATCCCTACTCTGTTGCTTTGTCTCTCTCTCTCTTTTCTCGGGTATCCACAGGTTCCCAAAAACTGAAGGACCCAACAGTTCTTTTATTTTCTCAGCAACCACATAGTCTGGGTGTTGATCTTGATCTTGATCTTCTTAGAAAACAATTCTGGTTTTATTTCCGACGTACATTTTCTCCTAGACAGAAGGAGTAGGAGTTTGAGACAGAGATAATTATAGAGGAAAACAGAGAGAGAGAGAGAGAGAGAGAGAGAGAGAGAGAGAGAGAGAGAGAGAGAGAGAGAGAGAGTTTGAAAAGAAAAAGGGAGGATTTGTTTGGGGAAGAGAAGTTGGAATTGAACTTGAATGGCGGGAATTGGAGCGAAAGGGAGGATTCTGAGGACGATAGCGACAATAGCGTGGAGCTTTCTATTAACTTCAATCTTTGTTTCCGCAGAAAGAAGCTTAAAACAGGAAATTTCAACCACCCCTCTTGAAGCTGATGAATCTGAATCAAATTACTTTGTCCAGTTTACAAATTTCTTATGGCAATCAAATCAATCTGGTTACCAACATGTTTGGCCTGTAAGTTCAATACTTAGTTTTAATTTAACTTGATTCCTTTTGAAATAATTCTTCTATATATTCTTTTTAATTTGCTCTTTCTTGCTACTCCATGTTCATTACTCAATATTACAGTTGTCTTAGATGCTCCATAGCAACTCTCTCTCTTATTTACTGCTGTAGTTGGGAGTAGGTGATTGGATATGGATGAATTAATTAGCTATCTCTTTGGTCCTCCATTACTTTGTGTTTATGAACTATCGTACAAGTTTAACAGCAAAAATGGATTTATGTGCTTGTTTTCGTCTTGGCCCCCGAGGGTTTTTGAATAATGAGTCCAACACAAAATTAAGAGCCATGCTAGTTCGACATATTTTACGGGCAGAGGGTGGGTCCTTTGTATCTTTTGGAATCCGATACTAATCTATTGGCCAGGATGGATTAGCAATAGTTTAGGTCAATAATTAGATCCAAATTCAATGGATACCTACCATATGTATATGACAGTACATCCTGATCCACATATTTATTAAATGAAGGTTGATGCATTTGGCCAACCCAAAGGACTTGGTTAGGGATTTATTAGGGTTTTTTTTTTTTTTTTATCAGTGGGATTTGGTCACTATTGCCTTATTGCTGTGCATTTGGTAAGTTGAGCAAAGACTATGTACATAAATACATTTATACACCCATATGCACCTGAAATGTATGGTTGACTTTTATGTTCAGAGCTTTAAGTATTGATTTGGAAAAATAAAATATGGACAAATTTGGAATGTGGTTTACAGGATTTGAAATTTGGGTGGCAAATCATTGTGGGTACCATAATTGGATTCTTTGGAGCAGCTTTTGGGAGTGTTGGTGGTGTCGGCGGTGGTGGCATATTTGTTCCCATGCTTACCCTAATAATTGGGTTTGATGCAAAATCCGCGACTGCTATTTCAAAATGTAAGAGGCAGGTATATTGATGTAGTTGTAGATCATAACAAATTGACTTGGTTTTAACTTACAACTTGAATGGGTTGACCTGACCCCTTATCTAAATGAGTTGTCCTAGAACCCATTAATGTGCTAAAAACTAGGGCCTAAATTTTGTCACACATCATTGAGGAAAGGTAAATTGTGTGGCTTAAGCTTTTGTACCATCTTTTGTCTACTTTGAATTAAGCCACGGAAGGACAAAGAGCTTTATTTTTGGGAATTTTGATTTGTTTGCTGTATAAACCTCTATAGTATGGTGAAGTAGTGATAGAGCCTGTTCATTTGTCAGGCATGATAATGGGTGCAGCAGCCTCAACTGTTTACTATAATCTTAAGCTACGGCATCCCACACTTGATATGCCCATCATTGACTATGACTTGGCTGTTCTTATCCAACCAATGCTCATGCTTGGTATTAGTCTTGGAGTTGCTTTCAATGTGCTTTTTGCCGACTGGATGGTCACAGTTCTGCTGATCGTTCTCTTCTTAGGTGATGTTTTATTTTCTTGCAATTCTTTTTGCCAAAAAAATGCATTCTGCCCCAGGAAAACTGCTGATTTTGTGTGGTGATCTGCAGGGACATCAACCAAGGCCTTTTTTAGAGGTGTTGAAACATGGAAGAAAGAAACCATTATGAAAAAGGTTATCATGAACTTTACGTGTTTCACATATAGAGTTTTGCAGCATGTGGATGCTTTTTGGGATTTGACTTCAGTTCACTAAAATGATACTGCCAAAAGATGGATTTTGGTTCCTTCAAATGCTATGAAAACAAAATGAAATGCTTTTATCTTCGTAGCTTGCATCGTTTCTGTGAAAAGAACTAATCTTAATTCATCCATTGTGATAAATATTGTTTCTAATTTCAGGAGGCTGCTAAGCGCTTGGAGGCAAATGGTGGGTTGCTGCAAAGCTATCTCTGTGGTGCCAATAGCTTAAAGTACCTCTTGGCAATTTTTTTTTTTTTTTGGGAAATAAAACCAATAAGCCAGTGATTTTCTTTCAGATGGCAGAGAAGAAGAATACAAGCTTCTTCCCAGTGGCCCCAGCAATGGCACCAAAAAAGAGGCCACGGACTCTGCTGAACCAGAGGTAAGTGTGGTTTAAGAGTAGAATTTTTCTCCATTTCACAGAGTTCTTCGATCTAACTTCTGTTGTACTCTCAGGTCACTATTCTTGAGAATGTTTGCTGGACAGACTTTGGGCTTCTTGTTTTTGTTTGGTTTGCATTTCTGGCACTGCAGATCACTAAGGTTTTGAATTGTTAGATGCTTATGTTTTGCAATTTCATGAACTTGTTGAACCTTTGACCTCACTGGCTTGATGTGATGGAACAGAACTATGCAGCTACTTGTTCGGTTACATATTGGGTGCTGAACTTGTTACAGGTACCTTATATGGATATAATCAAGTTTACAGATAGCATTTTTTCATATGTGGGTGTGAATATGCACATTTAAATATTAGGACTAACCCTTTTGTGGGGCATTGATATTGTTAACCTTCAAGCTTTGTAGACTTGGTACTGTATTTCACTCATCCATAGGATTTTATAATTCTGATTTCCTGCAGATACCAGTTGCCGTTGGGGTATCCTCGTTTGAGGCAATAAGCCTGTACAAGGGATGGAGAAAAATTGAATCCAAAGGTGATACAGGCACCAACTTGCAAGTCCACCAACTGATTGTCTATTGCTTCTTTGGCTTGCTGGCTGGCATTGTTGGGGGGCTGCTTGGTCTAGGTGGAGGATTTATCATGGGTCCACTATTTTTAGAGCTGGGGGTCCCTCCTCAGGTACGTTTGTGCTTCTCATGAGATGCTGTGAAGTGGTAGAAAAAGAATTGAAAGAGTAGAAAAAGATCAAAAGTGATAAGAAAAAGAATGAGAGGGAAAGAAATAGATAATAGGTGATATGCTTTGTGTCATTACATGCACAATCAGTTAAATATCAAAAAAAAAAAAATTTGGAGAAATTGGGAGAAATTCCTTTCCTTGTGTCATTATCACTTGACTTCGTCAACTCTACCTGATTGATTTTGCCTATCATGTAATCCCTTCTCCCCCACCCTACCAAAAAAAAAAAAAGGTACCAAAAGCGCCTTACCAGGGAATGCTGCAATTTGTTTGCTTTGCTGAAGGTGAATTTGTGTTCCACAAAGTTGGTACCCTGTCAATTAGCTGATGACTTTTTACTATGTTTCCCATCAAAATATACCTGGAAAATACATCAAAGAATACTAAGGCCAATAAGTGACAGTAGGATATATTACAGATTCAAATGGTAGAAGAATATTGCATTTTATGATGAAGAAACACCTGAGAATTTTGTCTTATTTTTCCTCGCATATAGATAGGCATGTCAAACAAGGCATCATGTGTATTGCTGGGAAATATAGATAGATATAATTGGTATATTGACAATGCAACCTAATATAAGTTTCCAACATTAAAATCTCTAAACACTTGAAACCTATGAAGGTATTAATCTGCAAACATTTATGCAGTGCACGCAAACATTGAGACAGAAAGGATAGAATAATAACTTGAAAACCTTAGAAAGACAAAGTAACTACGCATGAAATTTTTCATTTTCTTCTACCCTTGTGATTAGTCTGGCTTTAAAGTTCTTTAAAACTTTTTTGTAGGTTTCAAGTGCCACAGCTACCTTTGCAATGATGTTCTCCTCATCAATGTCTGTCATAGAATATTACCTTCTAAAACGTTTCCCAGTTCCTTATGGTAAGTACATTTCTTGGAACAGACAATTTTTTCCTGAACTGATTTTTTTAATGCTCCAAGAGCTTTTTCTTTTTATGAGTACATAGTCTTGTCAAATGACTTCTCATTTCACTTGCGTTTTTTGTGATATCTAATTGTTGTTGGATGTATTTGGCAGCTCTCTACCTTATTGTTGTGGCAACAATTGCTGCTTTTGTTGGGCAACATGCTGTGAGAAAACTGATCAATTTATTGGGAAGGGCATCTCTAATCATCTTCATTCTGGCCTTCACGATCTTTGTTAGTGCAATCTCCCTAGGTGAGCTTCAACTTTAATCATTGATTGGACGCCAAATTAATGGTTTTTTTAGGTTGACAACTTATAAACTTCTATGGCAACACAATTTTACAAGTCCTACTATTCTGATTTTGGGACAGTTTGATTCGTTCTTTCAGCCTGCCAATGGAATTATTGATTTCGTGTTAAAAATTCTTTCGTTTGACAGGTGGAGTTGGCATTTCAAATATGATTGGGAAGATTGAGCGGCATGAATACATGGGTTTTGAGAACCTCTGCAAGTATGAGGCTTGACATGTAGGCCCCCTCCAAAACCCATTTCAGATTCACTGGTGCTCTAGTCATTCTCCTCAGGTTGCAGGAATTAGCCTCAAGTTTGTTCCAATTCTTGATGGATGGGGTACATGATGACAATTGTTCTGGTTCAGTTGCTCTGGTGCTTCATAGTTTCCATTATTCATTGATAGCACATTTTTTGTAAGAGTTTTGTGTAAGGATTCTCTCCGTTGCTAATACAACTAAACAGGTCCTTTAATTTCATTTTCTTCTTGTCAATAAAGGGAAGGAAAAGGAACAGCTTTCAGTGCTTGGTTGTCTTTTGAAGTGTGTTCTACTTATTTCCTCTGACTTCCCTTTCTCCAATGTGATTATAGGGTGTTATGTATGGAACTTTGGTTTTTAATTCTCTGGGAACACCTGTCATCCTGTATCTAATGAACTTATATCTCCTCAAATAAGCTTCCTTTTCATTTCCCTCGATCACAGGTCAACCACTGTGTTGGTGGCAATTCAATAATGTATATTACGTTCTATTTGAATCTATAGTGTATGATCTATCATTAAGAAAAAATGTACTGAAGAGAATCTGAATTCGTATTTCACTTGTGTATCTATAGTATTGTGTGGCTATTAATACGTCAAGTCTCATTGATCGCATCACTATTCCTTTCTTTTTTCCATTCCACACGGTGCATTGGCAAAGGAAACTAATCATTGGTGTCAAAGGCCTAAAAAGAGTAGAGAGAATTATGAGGCTACTAGTGAGGGGGGTCGACTGAGGTTGGAGTGGAGATAGGTTGGGGTTGGGAGGGAGGAGCCCGCAGGAGAGGAGAGTACATAGAAGGTGGGCGTGCACTGTGCACAGAAGAAGTTGACTGATGGGGAGGAGCAGAGAGGTTATTTTCAAAGGAAAATGTTATTTTGAACAAATTTATTGAGCTTATTTATTAATCTAATACATTATAGTTATTAAATTGGTAACTCAACCAATTCAATAGTGTATTTGGCTAGGATATTTTGGGGGTGCAATTGTACTGCACTTGTCCGTTAGTGATTTAATACTATGTTCATACTAGAATACTATAGTGTCCATCATTTTTACACCAAATATTTAATATAATATATGGTGTTGGTGGTAAATTTTGCACTAACCTTCATGTAAGTTGGGTTAAACTTTGTTTTCGAGTATTCAAGTCAACTCTTTGAAACTCTGGGAAAGTTGCAAAGAAATTAAAGACCAAAGGGGAGAGCTTCGGGGTCGATCTTTCGATTCTTAAGGCAATGTTCTCGTAAAAAAGATGAAGAATGACAATTTAGACTAAAATTACGTACCTTTGATGTTTCTCTGAGCTTTTTTTATGGTTTGAAAATTAGTTTTCTTGACGGAGTGAACTTTAGGCTCCGTCATCTATGGGGAATCGGACTCCTTGAGAGAAATATGGCACATTCTTTTGTTTGAAGAATATTTATCTCCCTCTCTCGCGGATAAGGATATTAAGACTCTTTTGGGACGATGGTCTTAATCTCTTCCCCTCCAAATAAAGGTAGTTTGATTTGGTTAAGGTATATTTTTTAATTTTTGAATAATTGATAATACGAAAAATTACATTCAAACTTCGTAAGATTTGTCATTTAATTACTTAAATCCTTGATATTTAAAATATTACACACAAATTCTCAAAAGTTTATACATGTGTAACACTTAAACTCCTATAGTCAATATTCGTTAATATATTCATTGGTAAATTACATCCAGACTCTCTGAAATTTGTATGAATGTAATATTTAGATCCCTCAAATTTCAAATATTATACTTAGATAAAAAATACTCTAATCAAAGATAGAATATCAAATATTTTAAATTTTACAATCAAAATTTATGTTATATTATGTAATTTATTGAAATAAAATCAAAAATAAATATCTAATTTTTTCTTAAAAAATCATAATTAGTATACAATTATACTATCTATTAAAATAATACTAAAAAACCAAATAAAAAGTCAAACTATAATGAACACAAATATCTTATATATTTAATTGGGGTAATTTTGTTGTTTAATAGATTTAATTAGTTTTATGACTAATAAAGGGACTAAGTATTATATACTTACAATCTTCAAGGGGTCTAAGTATTATATGCTAATAATCTTTAAGGGATCTAAGTATAATTTATATTATGCGTGTACAACCTCAGAGGGTTTGTGTGCAATATTCAAATATCAAGGAGTCTAATTAATTAAATGATAAATTTCAAGGAGTCTAAGTATAATTCTTCCTTATTAGTTATAAAATTTACAAATCTATTAAATGATCAAATTATCTCAATTAAAAAAAAGATATTGTGTTCATTACAGTTTGACCATTTGTTTGATTTTTTAGTTTTATTCTAATAGATGATATAATTATATGCAAATGAATAGGGATGACAGTGGACCAAAACAGAGGTGGGGGTGTAGTTTTCATTCTCGTACTTGCTTTAAAAAACTATGTTCATCTCCCTCCCCGTCAGGAGTAAATTTGTAATCCCCGGCCCGTCCTCGTCCACCTTGCCCGCCCCAGCCCAAGTCAAAGCCAAAGCCAACATAATCCAAAATTCTAAATAGATCTAACAACATTTTAAATAATCAAACATAATTATAGAATATCATAACATAATTAAAAATTTATTTACAACATAATATAATTAAAACCTTGTCTGCAACATAATCCAACATAATGTAATTAAAACATTGTCTTCCATGCAAATCCGACACAACATCATGCAATACAATATAATGTAACAAACATAATCCAACATAACATAAACAACAAAGGTCCAAATTACTATTTTGAATATTTGTAATGGAGAAATTTTTCTGCCACGTAGCTTCACACATGTAATTTAATAAAAAAAATAAAAAATACAAAACTATAATAATTGCATAAAAAATATTTTATATTTACTATTAAGGAAGAAGAAGAAACAAACACCATTGAACCAAGTTGCCTGTTCGTTGCCGGATAAGAGGAGGACCAACGGAAGATGAAGATCACTGAAGGCGAACACCATTGAAATCCAACCATTTGGTTCACTGAGCTGCGAATCTGCAATTGATTTAGGACAAAAATGCATATATGCATTATATATATAAGCGATTAATTCTTTTTCTCAAATATGGAACTTAATTGTTGAACAAGTGGAAAAAGGGAGAATGCAGTCTGAGATAGGTTACGATTAGCGAGAAAAATGATATAGGTTGCATTATGATAATGCTTGGGGAAGAGGAAGGAAAATTTGAGTTGCACTAGGGCTTTTTATTTGATAATCAGAAGAGCTGGGCTAGGTTGGGTGGCAATTAATTCTTGTATGTTGTACCCTAAATCTACCTGCTGTTGTGCAATTGTTTTGTTGCAGGATTTGAGGCAGCAACCAACAGGACGATGCAAAGAAAAATAACAGAGAGAGAGAGAGACTTACCTAGTTAGTCGACAGTCATAGATAGACTAAGACGATGGAGATAGACGGTGGAAACCTACAATCAACAATGGAGAGAGACTAAGAAAGATGATGGAAAGAGAGAGACAAAGCGTAGGAGCGAGACGTTCAATAGAGGCGGAGGCTGATAGAGGAGTAAGTAAGGGCTTTAACTTGGGAGTATATATATATATAACGAGTATAGCAAGAGGTGGGGGTAAATGTCAATTTACCCCGCATTCATCTCCGTACAGGTTTATACTGATATTTTTGTATACGTTCATCATCCAATACGTATGGTCTATCTTCGATTCAAACGGGACAAGTTTGGATGAATACCCATTTTTTTCCGGTTCACCGTCATCCCTACAAATGAGTGTTGAATTGAGTTCTTTGATATATTTTATACTGATTACAATACGCATTTTATATCTTTGAGTCACTTACTAACTTAGGCATCGAAGAGTCTACCTCCAGAGCTCCACTCTGGTCTCCGACTTCTTTTTCAAGTGATCGAAGCCCAATATACTAACGTGTAGATCGTCCAAATTTTGACATCAACAATACTAATTATAATTTTTTTAAGAAAAAAATGAATTTTTATTTTTAATTTTATTTCAATAAATGGCATAATAGAACATAAATTTTGGTTGTAAAATTTAAAATATTTAATATTATATATTTAATTAGAATATTTTTTGTCCAAGTGTAATATTTTAAACTTGAGGGATTTAAATATAATTTACTAATAAATATTGACGATAGAGGTCTATGTGTTATTCGAGTGTAAACTTTATGATGTCTATGTGTAATATTTTAAATATTAGGGGTCTAAGTGATTAAGTGACAAACTTTAGGGGTCTAACTTAATTTTAGCTTACTATTAAGGGCTTTAAGTGTAATATTTCAAATTTAAAGGGTCTAATTATTACATTTTTATAAATTTTAGAAGGTCTAAATATAATTTACTAACGAATAAGCCAACAAACAGTGATAACAGAGTCTAAGTGTTACACGTTTATAAACTTTAGAGGGTCTATGTATAATATTTTAAAAGTCAAGAATTTTAAGTGATTAAGTGACAAATCTTCGGCGGTCTAAGTATAATTTTTCCAAAATAGAAAGATTTGGTAGGCTTCTAAATTTTTTTTGGGTTAATTTCAAATTGTACTTTGAAAGATCTTTTGAATCTCAGTTTTTATCCTCAAAGATAAAAAATCTCAATTTACACTTTCAAAGATATAAACTTATATCAATGTGCACCCGAAGTTACACAACCGTCAGTTTGTCATCCAAAACTAGTTGGATAAATTATACTTAGACCCCCTTAAGTATATCACTTAATTATTTAGACCCCTCATATTTAGAATATTACTCGTACACCTCCTGACGTTTGTGCACGTGTAACACATAATTCGTTATCGTTGATACCTGTTAATATAACCGTTAAAAAATATGATTTCATCATAATAAAAAAATTATAATTTTTATACTACCTTTTTATTTTGTGGACCCATTATACTCTAAAGTTCAAAATCAACCTTACAATTTGAATGTCCAATATAATGCAGGTATTTATATAATGTTTTTTATATCCAATGTAATACATCACTTGAACAAAAGTGATTAAGTGACAAATATGAGGGGGTCTAGATGTAATTTATCCATTTAGTTTTAAATGATAAGCTGACAGCTGTTTCAATGCGTATTGATATAAATTTATATTTTTAAAAGTATAAATTAAAAATTTTAATCTTTTGAGGGTATAAATTAAAATTTAAACAATCTTTCAGAATTCAATTTGCTATTAAACATTTTTTTTTTTGAATTACCACAATAAATTGAAAGGTTAATCTCATTTTGTACCCTAAAAGATTGTTTAAATCTTAATTTGTACCTCCAAAGATCAAAAATCTCAATTTACACCCTCAAAGATAAAAATTTGTATCAATGTGCATCCCCAAAGATAAAAATTCTCAATTTGTACCCTCAAAGATAGAAATTTGTATCAATGTGCACATAAAATTAA